TGCACGGGTGGTAAGACCGGGCACCCATTCGGTTCTGTCCCAACATCAATGAGGCCTCATGAGATCCAAGCACCTGTTGCAAACAGAGGGTGTGGCAGTGTGAAATGTACATGGACGTTCCGTGTTTTGTGTTGGTGGCCCACATGGCGTCAAAGTCATATTGCCTGGAGTTTGTTTGAGCAAAATATGATGGGCTTTGTATGGAGGCCCACGTCTTCTTGATGGTGGCCCAAAATGCTTGGGGCCCAGCGCTTGCCTCTTCCAGGAATCTTTTGGGGGCAGAAAAAACCGTCAAAGTGTATGCCAAAAAGACTTTTTTTTTGGGCATGAAACCAGCATCAGCGTGTGGGAACCTTGCACAATGGCCAGTTAAATTGCCGAGTGGCCGAAAATAGACACTGCGCTATTGGTTTCATGTTGACTTGGCACGCGTGCATTGCCATTGAGGTTGCTACAGCTCAACTTGGCCAAGCAAAGTTGGGTGTACGTTCTGTTGTTGCACGGCATCCAGGTGGGAACGGCCCGTCGCAGGGTGATTCAAGACCTGAAGTTGTTCAATCCAAATGGTATCACCAGCACTTGCCTTGTTGTGGGTTCTCTGTGCTTTGCTGTTGTGAGCCGGCTGTGCAGGTCCTAAGCCAAAGCAGCTTGACCGTGCCAGCATGTGATGTAAGAGTTCAGCATCTCCGCCTCGTGCCGTCTTGGATCCGGGCGATGGAGACGGAAAGCTTTGATGGGTGTCAGTTGTCGGTGGCTTGGCAAATTCAGATTCAGTCATTGTCCAGGGCAACGAAATGAAACGACTCGGGGGCCAGTGGTGGTTCACAATATGCAATAGAACTGAACCATTTGCTCGGGTTGGGGAAGGCAGAAGGCAACCTTGCAGGGATTCGTAGTCTTAATAGTCACTGCTGCCTTCCCTGGGGCAAGTGACAAGGTAGTTGTGCCTTAGTTGGGTTGGGCCAGCCAAGTGCGTTCTGAGCAGCAAGCCGCGTGGTTGAACGGGTTTTGGAACCACAAACCCTGTGTCGATTTGAGCTGAATCATCCAGTGCGTACCACCTGCACGGTCTCCACTGGAGAGAAGAGCTGACCATGGTCAACTCAATGCAACATGTTTGTACACAAACAATTGTTTCAGCAGTATGAATTCTTTCCACCCATGTTTGCCAGTTTATTCAAAACACATGACCTTCTTCCAGCAGATGACCAACAAACAAAGAACATTCATAGAATGCCTTGAAGCCCGTGGAAACTGCGCCCTGTGGGGGTCAGCGACGCCGGCGGAGCCAAGGAGATCGAATTTTTTGCACCGAACGGTAGTCGACCTCTTGACCTTCAGAGCCTTCCAAGACCCGAAGTGGAGCTGCAAGCAGTGTTCGACGGATCCTATGAGACGCAGGTCTTTGATATGAGAGACTTGGGTTTCCAAAGGTGGAATCATCATGCAGCAATTTGTTCCTTTTCAAGGCCCCCAGAAGATGGTCTCACAGGTTTCTCACTCATTTTTTGCAGTCTATTTGCTTGTTCTCGTGGGGCAAACAGGGCCGGTCCTACTTCGGTTTGGGGCTGGGAGCGGCCAAGCAGCAATGGACGGCACGCTTACGGCACAACCATGTATATGAAGAGGGTTGGGGGCATGAATGGTGGGTTGTAATGAAGGGTCCATTCAGCAACTCAATGCAAGACATTTTGCAGTTCCTGCGCAGGTACTCGTAGTCATATTTGTGCCAGCCAATGCGCCAATGCGGATGGCTACCTCTCAGGGCCCCGTTTTTTTTTTTTAATGAAGACTTAGTTTGTATACATCTTGTGCATGTTACATTGATGCGCACACACACACGTAAAAAGCATGTATACATACGATATACATATACATACACACACACACATATATATATATACACACCTAGAACCCATTTGACCTCTGTTTTGATAGGAAAAGACCATCTTTTGGGTAGTTTGTGGTCCAAAATAGAGGTCATTCAGGTTCTAGGTACATATATATATATATATGTATATGTATATGTGTGTGATATACATGTGCAAAAAACATTTGTTAAACATCGGGACTCTTCGGTGGTTGACCTCAGGGACTCTTCGGTGGCGCGTTCTCCGCAGCCCAGGATGCTCTCCAGCGATGCTGTCCCTCGAGAGCCCTGCAGGGATTTGTGGATATCGCCTCATCACTGCCAGTAGTGATGATGCTCGAGATCCATTGGGTTCCCAAGCTTGAAGTTTGTGGAGCTTTTCGGGAGTTCAGATGGACATCGATGCAGATGTAAAGGCCAGGTTGTAGACTGTAGACCTTGTCATTTAGCGGGTTGGCCATGTCTTGGCGTTTTTCGTGGTCCTTGACCTGGAGGGTGAAGTGGTGTAGCAACAATCTTTTTGGAACAAACACTTCGCGTCCTTTCATGGTCCGAGATGATGCGATGCTAGGGAGTGGATTTGAACATCAGGGTGGGTGCTCCGGTAGCACGCACCATCAAGTCGCATGGGAGGAAGATGTCGTTCAAAGCCAGCTTTTTGAGACCAACAACCCGCATGACATGGGTTTGAGGTTCGGAAGTCTTTTTCTCTTGGAGGGGCTCCATCTCCGCTTTTTCGGTGGAGATGAAGCTTTTCTGATTCTGCTCGACCCAAGCAGCATTTTTCGGGTCCCTTCCCGACTTGGTCCATTGCTGCGGTCTGACCGTGGACCCGGTCCGAGCTCGGGTGGTCGTGACGCACGTCGTGACGCACCGACCTCAGGTTTTGAAGTCCATGGCTCCAATGATGCATCTTGGGTGGATCATGTAGAGTCCAACCCCACCAGACTTGGATTGTAAAACGCGAGGTTTTATTGATGAACGTGAACGGCCTACATTAAGACCACAATTGGTTTTGTTTGCCCAACCTTGGCGGCTGACAGGAATTTCCTGGCAAAAGAAGTGTTGTTTCTTTTCTTTTAATCAAGTTTATTTATGGTTGGTGTCGTGATGGCACAAAAATGCTCAACACATATCATCACGTCTTGTTAGGCTGTGAATTGGTTCATCCTGGATTCACAGCTCAACTACAGCCGTAGCCTTACTCCAATTGAGCGCAGTGCTCCTACACAGCTGTTTGCTTTCTCCAGCGGTGCTCCTACAGATCTCTTCACTCTCTCCAACATGACTCATGAGGCGGGCGGGGTCCAAAAGCCATGCCTGCGGCGAAGTCGGGTCCAGAGGGCTTCACCATCCCCCCGCGCATCTCCGAAAGTGAAGAACGACGAGCCCCAAAGAGATGACCAACCTGCTACTTAAAGCATGATTTCGTCCCTGGTCATAGCATGTCCTTTGAGAAATCAACCCTTATCACTGAGAACGCCGAGATCCCAAGCTGAGATCCTCATCCGGTCTTTAAAGGCGAAGGTTCCAAGCGGGCAACGTCCCCAGTGCAGTGCCCGCGAGCTGCCATACGAGTCGACAGGTCGACAGGTCGAACACACGAGGGACGGAAACGGAGGCGAGAGGTGGTTTCCCGAGCAAGGCCAGTCCGGCACCGAACAAGGCGGAGTCTAAACGCACCAAACTCGCCACCGAGTCCTCGCAAGATTTGAAAGAGATCCCAACCATCACTGACCTGGTTCGATGCCTCCGGGCTGTAGCTCTCTTATTCAGTGCCCTGCGATAGTTTCGTAGCACGAAACCTGTTCCGCGCTGGTGAACGAACGGGGCTATCAGTGAACATTGGGACATCCAGGTCGCTCGGCAAGTTGTTCCAATCAGCAAATCCCACCAGCGGCTGCTGTGCGTGTCTGTCCAAAGACAGGGGTCCGCCGCCTGCATGCTTTTCGGGAGTCCGAGGGTGTGCTGGTCGCCCGGTCACCCTGCTCAGGCAGCCTATGTTCAACACGTCATATTTGTGCCCATTGCCCCACGTGGTTGGAGTGAAAATGGTTTCGAGAGAACATCCACTTATTACATCGCGGAGCTCCAGTTGCTCGTTGACGGCCAGATCTTGGACCTCTCTGATGCGACTGTGTCGCATGGAGGCCATGTGCAACTTGGCTACCTAGCACCTACCACAACGAGCAGATCCACCACCTCGTTCACTTCCAGCACAACAAGTTCATCCACAAGTTTCATATTGACTTTGACTTCAAGCTCGACTCAGACTTTAACTTTTACACCGAGCTCCACTAGCTCATCCACCGGCAGCTCTACCACCAGCAGCTCTACCGCCAGAACTTCAACTACCAGTGTTTCAACTACAAACACCTCCATAACAAGCACCTCCATAACAAGCACCTCCATAACAAGCACCTCCATAACAAGCACCTCCATAACAAGCACCTCCATAACAAGCACCTC